CAAGGTTCTTCAAAAGGCTGAATATGCTTTGAATTGGCATTGACGATATGGTACTGCATCTCCCACAGCCAGAACTCACAAGTCCAGGAATCAAGGGGTGGAAGCAAGAATGGTATCACTCACATTACTTCTAATGATTCATAAGCAAAAGTTCTGTTTCCTGTTCCCATGACCTTATGTTCTTCTGGTGCAGAAGTCTTAGTTCCAGAAGGGAGAAGGCTTGTACCAGGAAGCACAACAATGTTTCTATTGAACTGGAAGCTAAGACTTGCCCTGGTCATTTTGGGCTCTTTATGCCTCAGAGTAAACAAGCTAAAAAGAGAGTTAGGGTATTGGCAGGGGTGACTGACCCAGACTATCAAGGAGAGACTGTATTATTACACCACACTGGAGGAAAGAATGTACTTGGAGTCCAAGAGATCCCTTAGGGCACCTCTCAGTATTACCAATTCCCATTATTAAAATCAGTGGGAAACTACAACAACCCAATACAGGCAGGATGACAAATGGCCCAGAACCATCAGGAATGAAGGTATGGGTTACCCCTCCAGGGAAAGGACCAAGACCTGCTGAAGTGCTTGCTGAAGGCCAAGGGAACACAAAATGGGTAGTAAAAGGTAGTAAGTGTCAGCTATGACTCCATGATCAGTTACAGAAACAAAGACTGTAATTTGTAATTGTTCTCTCCTAATATGCTTCCTACGTAACACAATGTCTAGAGAGTTAGTATTGGTTCTTAAGTACTGTTAAGCCCATGTTATACAGTTCAAGTTATGAAATGTTAGGAGTAAGCATCACCCAAAGAAAAATGCCTTCTATTCTGGGCAGGAAATTCATGCATTTCCATTTGTATACAGAATAGATATACCATGTTAGGCATAACTGTGAACTTTTCTTTGTATCTTGAGACCAAGTATGGTTTAACAAAATGTGTCTGATTGCCAAGTTGCCGAGTGGGAGACTGTGGTACTTAACTGTTGTGCCACTTTGAGTAAGCAGTGCCCAACTGATTGGCTCAGCACAATGGGGTTGAGTAAGTGGATTTATTGAAGATGGAAGGCTACCCTAGGTGTGACTGGCACCAAACAATAGTCTTGCTACCCGAACACAATGAAAAAGGGCAAGAACAAAAAGGGCATGGACTAAAAAAGAGAAAGAAGAAGGAAGGCTTGCTTCCGTTTCTTCAGGGGAGCTCCAGTCTTTGCCTTTGCCTTGGATGTCTGTCTTCTGACTTCCACCACAGACTCTTCAGCCTTCCCTCGCAGACCCTTTGGCTTCTGGACATGGACTCTGACAGGACTCTACGGTGGGTTCCAGGCCTTTGAGTTTTGACTGGATTCTTCTGTGCACACAGCCCTTTTGCACTCCTCCACACCTGACTGCAAGTGGCCGCTGGAAGGCTACCTTGTAAATCCATATATATCTTATACTAAATCTGTTTCTCTAGTGAGCACTGACTGATACACTGTAGTTCGGAAAAACAAAAGTACAAGTTAAGTACTCTGGTAAAACCAGAACAAAAGGGCTAAAAGTAAATTATTAGGGGCAGGTAATAAATGTTGAGTGAATTTTCAAGTGACTTGCTTAAGGTTACAGGTATAATACCACACTTAGAACTACTGCCTAGTTTTTTTGTTTGTTTGTTTTGTCTTTTTGAGACAGGGTTTTGCTATGCACTTCAGGCTGTCCTTGACCTCACTCCGCAGCTGAGGGTGGCCATGAGCTCAACAGTGATCCTCCTACCTCAGCCTCCCAAGACTACTGTCTAGTTTTATGACTGTCTGCTCAAAGCTCCATTCCTGTCTAACTCCACAGATATCACCATTTCTGAAAGAAGAAACACATACAGATCAGATTCAGTATAAAGATCCAGCTTCATAAAATAAATAGGGAGCTCAAAATATAAAGTATTTTGGACAAATAAGGGAAAAGTGATAAGGTGAGACTATAGGTGACATTCTCTCTCAGTTGCAGGCCCCATAAGTTTAGAGGGCTCTTTCTGAAAGCAACATAAAGGCTTAATGCTCTCCCAGTGATTTTTTTTTTTCTAGTAATGATGAGTATAGAAACCAGGGCCTCAGGTATGCTAGGCAAGTGCTCTACCACTGAGCTACAACTCCAGACCTCAAATGACTTCTAAACAGCATAAATGGGCTATGGGTGATTGCTCTTCTAGTTCTTCTCCTGGCCTCAAAAAGGTAAAGAGAGTCAATTTGTTTTTTCCAGACTCATATTACCTTGAAATTTATCATAACAGCATGTGTTGCACAAATTTCACCTGTGATTATAACTTCCTCAGCACTCATCTTAGTATTCTTAGGCTCTCTCTAAAGTGTACTCCAGGCAATGCAACCCTCCCCAACCCCCACATTACAAACATTTCCCATCCTCATTTCTATGAGCAACACCTGAACCATCTGCTACTTTTGTCTACTGTAACGCCCAGCAATGTCCAAATCCTTTAAATGAAAACTAATGTAGTGCTTCCACACAACAAAAGCTCCACAAAGACTACCTAACAGCAGTTAGTAACTCCGAAGAGTAAATCTATACAGCTAACAGATGATATAACACAGAAAATTTTCTGGGTATAAAATTATTCCTTTGGCACTCAGCTCTGGAAAGCTTTGACACTCAGAGTCAAACAAGCCATTATAGGTGATAGTATTATAAATGTTATTTCATGTTTAGGTGCAATGGGAATGTCCAATGTCCCAGATTTTTTGTTGTTGTTTGTAGTCTTTTTGAGACAGGGTCTTGCTATGCAGTTCAGGTTGGCCTTGAGCTCACTTTGTAGCCCAGGCTGGCCTTGAACTTGCATGATCCTCCTGCCTCAGCCTCCCGAGTGCTGGAATTACAGGTGTGTGCCACCATGCCCAACCACTATCCCAGATTTGATGTGGGGTTTCCTACAACCAAACCTACTGTCACTCCAGCTTTACCATCAGCCTTGACAATGAGAAATAACTGAGGTTAAATGGAAGCTATGGGCCAGTCATCAAAAGGCTGGGTGACTCTTAAAGAAATTCTTTAAGAGAATTTCTTTTCTTTCTTTCTTTCTTTCTTTCTTTCTTTCTTTCTTTCTTTCTTTCTTTCTTTCTTCTTTCTTTTTTGAAATTCTTTAAATTATATAAAAAAAACCTCAACAGGTCAAGTAGGAAGACAAACTTGGCAGTTGTCTTAGTAATTTCTCTCATTGCTGGGACAAAATACCTGACACTCAAAGTTAAAGGAGAAAGGTTTTCTGTAGCTCACAGTTTGTAGAGGTTTCAGTTCATAGTTGACTGGCTCCAAGGCAGGGTAGCATGGCAGAGGGGGATCTCAGCAGAGAAACACTTCATGGCAGGCAGAAAGTAGCAAAGCAACAGCAAATGACAAGGGACAACTTTCTTTCTGTCCCTTATAACTTATCCAGGATACCCATCCTTAGTGGGGATAGCACTCACACCTAGGGTGGGGCAGCCTGAATCCTCGCATCACACCATGAATCAATCCCAGCATCATACCCTTGATCCCAGCTGCACATCCTAGATCCAGCCACCTCCAAAAAGCCCCACCTATGGCTGCATGAGGCTTTGGGGAGGGGACGTCTAGGCACAAGTCCTAACATCAGCATATTACAAAATTTGAAAGTTAGTACTCCAACTTTCCCTCACTTAGGCTCACTCTCTGAGTTAAATGCCAGCCCATTATACAACTTTCCCTTCTCCAAAAGACACTCGGTCTATCACCAGGTCCAGTCATTTCACCTGCAAATCCTCAAGTCTTGCCTCCCTTGGACATCTCCAATGCCACTGTCTCTGTCTAAGTGTCTCTTCTCTTGGGTGGGGTGGGGTGGGTGTTGCAGAGGAGAAGAAATTCTCCGAGTGGAGAGAGGTACTCCTTCCCTCTTTGCTGGCTCTCTACCTTTCTCATACATATGTCTGCTCTAGTAAAGACTATATAGCTTTATTCTTATATCTGCCTGCCAACTACTCTCCCAGCCTACAGTTTATTAATGACAATATTTTCACTTGATAACACTGCCAAGAGGGTTAATTAATTACATCACTCTCTCTTAAAATTGGCTAAAGAATTCCTATTGCCTGCAAAACAAAGCACGTACCTCACTCTGGGACCCACCCATCCCTCCAGCATTTCTTCTAGCTGCCACTTATGGACCTTACAGCTATCAAAAATAGATGACCCTACTCTAGAAGGGCTGTTTCTCTTCCATTTCCATGCCTTTGCACATATTGTTTCCTTCCAAAGTACACTTGTATAGTGGGCAAGATGTAGCTTAGATAACCTCCTGCGTGGACCCTTCCTAACATAAGATGCTGGAGCCAGGGATATAGCTCAGTGGCACAAGTGCCTGCCTGGCAAGTGCAAGGTCCTAAGTTTGATTCCAGGTACCACAAAACAAAACCAAACAAAACACAAAACACGAACATAAGGTGTTCTCTCAGGGCTCCCACAATTTTCTATCCCAACATTTGATAGTTCTCTAAGTACAAAAATTCTGAAAGACGTATCTTCCACTTACAAAAGATACAAAGGCCAGGATTGGCCAGTAAGGATCTATATCGTCAGTACAAAACACCCCTGTAGGGCTCAAGTAGCTAGTGACTTGATTAGGTATGAGGAATAAAAAAAGGGAGGTGAAAAATACAACTTTTTTTAGAAATGGACATGAATTACTAATATTCCACTGAGTCCTTAAAATAGAGCCTAAAAATACTCTTGGTAAATCCACAGGTTTTCAATTGTTCTATAAAATTCCCTCAACATTTCACTTCTCAAAACTCTGCCAGAAACAGTTTACAAAATGATAAGTAACCTGATGGAATACAGTAAAAGGCCAAAGCTGAATTAATTTCATCCAAAGTTTATATTACTTTGTAATTTTTATTTCTTTTAGACATAGCCCTACTTCTGCCTTTTTGAACTTTAAACAAATGAACCATTCCATTTTAGCATTAGCCCTTATGAGTTACACCAGACCAGCTCCTGAAGCTTACCTGAGCCGAGATGCCAATGAGAAGCAGCCACTTCTGGTATGCATCAGTTCGGTAGTGGATTATCTGACATCCAGCCAGACTGGCATGTCTATCAAACATCTTTATGGGCTGGGAGTCACCTTCCATGCTCCAGTGATAGACTGTAGTTTCAGTCACCAAGGCAACAGTGTTCACAGACACCCACTTCCAGAAAATCACCTCTTCTGCCATAGTATGAGCCTTCACTTTACTCTTCATCTCAATATTAAAGATTTGAAGCGTCTTCCCAGCTAGTATTTGATGAGATGGACATTAGAGCAAGAGAAATGAAAATCTGAAAGACAAATTCTTATACTCTTAATTCTGAATCCTATTAATATTACTTTAAATTGTATTACTTATTTAGGTTCTTGTTCTTGTTTTTTTTGAGACAGGTTTTCACTGTGTAGTTCAGGCTGCTCACTATGCAGCCAGGCTGGCCTTGAACTTGTGGTGATCTTCTTGCCTCAGCCTTCTGAGTGCTGGGATTACAGGCATATGCCACCACAAGTTGTACTTTTATTTATTTATTTTTTGTCTTTTTGAGATAGGGTCTCACTATGTAATTTAGATTGGCCTTGAGCTCACTATGTAGCCCAAGTTGGCCTTGAACTCACAGCAATCCTCCTGCCTCAGCTTCCCTCCTGCTTTAGCCTCCCAAGTGCTGAGATTACAAGCATGCACCACCACACCTGGCACAAATTGGGCTTTTTTTCTTTTGGTATCTGTCATCAAACTCAGGACCTTGTGCTTGCCAGGCAGGCACTGTGCCGCTGAGCTATAGCCCTGGCCCACAAATAGTGCTATTTAAAGCTAATCTGACTAACAAGAAAAAAAGGCTGTCTGAGTACTTATACTCTGATGTTTAAATAGTAAGAACCTTCTATGTATTAGCTCTTTAGGTGAATGAAAACGTACACAAATATTTATATATTATATGAATAATAATCAGAAATCAGTTCTACTCAAACAAGT